TAGGTGTTTGGGCAAACTTGTTAAGTAAAAGTGGCTGTTTGGACATTATTGTTTTGTGTCTAACTCTAGAATTAAGTGGTGTGTGAATGTCTAGTGGGATATTGATATGTAGGCATTTTAAAAAGCCCCTTAGACAGTCTTCTATATCTTCTGGGTTAAACCTATATGCCATATGGAGTTCACATAATTGTGGAAAGGTATATGAAAATTTTAGCCTCTTAAAATACCTGTGTCTATTTCTATCTTGCTAAGCAGCAGCTCCAATTGGATCCCTGCAAACCATTAATATGTTTTAAGATATTAGAGGTTAGGGGTGGAAGGGTGTAAAATGTGACCACCATGAGAAAACTGGAGGTGTTTCCCTGAGAAACAACTGGTATAGTGAATATAGAGTGGAACTGTAGTCAAAGGAGCTGGGGTGAAGTTGAGGCTTTGCCACCTCTGCTCGGTGACCTTGAGCAGGTCGCCTTAGTGCCTGAGCTTCAGGTTCATCATCCATGAGTTAGGAGTAAGAGTTATTCTACTTCCTGCCTCTTTTCAGGGTTGCTGCTGCTCCCCCTGGTTTAGTCCTCTATTGTTTGGCCGGCTCAGGTTTGTGGGTTAGCGTTAGCCGAAATGAAGATTTGGAGAAAGCATGGTGTACATACTCTTTCAATTAGTTGATTGGCCTGCCAGTGTTTGTTCACCTTGTAGTACTCATAATGCTACCCACTCCTTTGAACCTGCTAGAATGATTTGTTTACAGGGATGCCCTGAATTATAGAGCTGGAAGACTCATCAAGGACTATGTAATACAACCATCTCATTTTACATGTTGAGGCAACTGGCATCCAGTGAAGTCAGAGTTTCTAGTCATTATTGCTTAGGAACCAACATTTCTTCAGGTTCTTCGTTATGGCCCCCTGATATGATAAGTAAGCACGAGGAGTCCCGAGCAGTTTCTCTTCATTTTTACACTTAGTGGAATAAAGTTTCTTCTCCTGGCATATGAGTTCCCTCTAGGCTTCTCATCTTACTTCTGAAAAGCATCCTTAGTTGGAAAGCATTTGAATTTTAATTAAAAAAGCTAATTTGTACTAAAGTGTTAATGTTATTACATTTTAACATTTTAATTAGGGATAAAGTCTTTTAAAAATTTTTTAATTTTTTGTTCTCAATTAATATGACACTTTCATAGGCAAAGAACAAAGAGCATTGTATATGAAACTGAATATTAGAAAAACTTGCTTTTTAAGGAAAAAAGTATATAATTCAACATATTTGTTCTAAAGCTGTCCCACTTGTCTGTCTCCTTACAAATTCTCTTCACTTTTTTATTTTTTATTTTTTTAATGTTTTTTGGCTAGGCATTGGGGTTAAGTGACTTGCCCAGAGTCACACAGCTAGGAAGTGTTACGTGTCTGAGGCCACATTTGAACTCAGGTCCTCCTGACTCCAAAGCCGGAGCTCTATCCACTGAGCCACCTAACTGCCCCTCTTTTCTGTTTTTAAAAACCATTCAATGACCTTCCTTTTTCAACATCACCACCACTTGCCTCTCTCTCCCCCAATTCCTCCTCCCATGTAAGAAAAACACCACCAAAAACTAGGGATAAAGTCTTAAAGAGCTCAAAGGAATTGATATCTAATGGCAGCTTCTTTGTAGGCTTTTATAGCCTTCTTACCTACGAATACTATTACAGATTTACTAATCAATAATGGTGATTCTAGTAGCTTTTGTGTTGTACATATGTAAATATTTAAGTCACCTATCTAAACTTTTGATTAGTATCCTTTATCTCTTGATAGAGGAAATGAATTAGTTCTTGCTGTTCCTGTTCTTTCCATACAGATTGCTTTAGTATGTTAATAATTTTCTGTTGCCATAAATAAAAGTTGACTGTAGAGTGAACTGAGTGTGCCAGTAAACCTGGACACACTCATACTCATGATCTGTGTATGTCCTTAAGTCTGAGTAACTTTTGCAGTGTCTGGTTCTGGGACTCATTTTGTTTCTAAGGAGTCGGGAAGGAAGTTATGGGGGTTTCACTTCTGTGGATTAGACTATAGTGGCGTTAATTGCCAGTGAATGTTTCAGGCAGATCTAAGCTATGTATTTCAGTTCTGTCTTCAATAGGAAATTAACCTTCACTTTTGAAATTCTTTAGTAGTAGTGGATTGTTAAGGCACTACTATTTGTTCTCATAGTAGGAGCTCAGTACTTATTAAATGAAGAAATGTGTTCTTTCAAATATTTTTCATGTCTTCTGTTTTTAACAACACTTACATTGCCCAGTATATCTTTCCTCCCTCCCCCTTACAGAGAACCATCACTAACAATGAAGAATAAAAAAGAGAAATACATTGACAAAGTCTGACATTATATGTATTGTTTCATTCTCATAGTCTTGGGGGCCAAGCTGGGTCTTGATGATTTCACATTATTCAGTTTTGATTGTTTTATTATTGTCATTCTTTCCATTTCCATTGTGGTGTTCATTGTGTATGTTATTTTTTTGGTTTTGCTTACTTCAATCTATCCATTTATGCAAAGGCTTCCTCTGTGTCTGTTATTTCTAATGAGAACTTGATTAGAGGCAGCGTGGTTTAATGGATAGAGGACTGGCCTTGTAATCAGGTACACCTAGCTTGCTATCCCTCTTTTTAATAATGGGGTGACCCTGGGCAAGTCACTGAGCTTCTTTGAGCCTCTTGTTTCCTCGTCTGTAAAATGGGAATACCTGTAGTACTTAACTTCACTGGGATTTTGTGAGAATCAAGTGAGACGATGCATGTGAAGTGCTTAAGAAACTATTAACCACTTTAATTTGACAGTTTAGTAGTAGAAGATGCATTTTGAAATATGTATCTATTACATATATTTGCATTTAGTAATTTAGTTCTAATTTGCATCCTCAGAAATGGATGAGTCAATTGGGATCATTTTCACCTGACTGTGAGGCTAGCTGACATTTATATGGCACCTTAATGTTTATGAAGAATTCTGGGATGTCCAAAGATGAAATGTCAGTTATTTTTAGAAGCAGTTTTATGGTTTTTACTGAAGAAATACCTCCCCCTGAAGTGACTGACATGTGAACTTGGCCATTCAGGTGACTTGTGGCTGTAGTTGATCCTTTAAGAGTGACATCATGGGCTGGGGGAAAGAGTACTGAATTTGGAATGAGAATGTTGGAGCTTGGGTCCTGATTCCATTTCCTACTGTAGGCTCTGATTTTGGCGGTCATTTGATCTCTCCAAGCTTTGATTCCTTTATCTGTAAAATATGTTTATCTTTATCCTTTATCTAGGACTTGTGCTGTTTACTGTATAAGATGCTTTGTAAACAGTTGAGCCTTACAGGAATGTGATCGATTTAACCATATTTCCTGGAGGCTCAGGGAGGTAAAACTGCTATTCATTGCCTTTTCACTTGCATTTTGCATCTCTTTTCCATTGGTATGACTGTGATCTGGTTGGTTAATTTGAGTGCCTCCTGAGTGTTCTTCTTTGGATGCTGTCAGGAAGTAAAGGAAAGAAGTGAGACAAAATTTTACAACTTTATGCAGGGAATACAGATGCAGTTTGTGATTCAGCGTAGAAGGCAAAGCATGCAGACACTTACAAAGTAGATACAAACATCAATTTCCCGATAGTAAATGGTGAAGTAAAGGCTTTAATCAGGGAAGGCCTTCTGCAGTTTAAACTGGATCTTGAAGGGAGATGATGGCCATGGATTGGCAGGAGGGGGTACTTTTGTAGGTGTGGCAGTGATGGTATGGAGAGGCAACCTGATAAGATTTAGAAAATGAAAGCATTCTAGGGTTGGTGCCTTCTTATTGAATACCTCATTTTATATGGTTAAGGAAACCAGAGAAATCAACTGTGTAAAGTCACAAAGGTAATCCAGCAGATTTGAAACTAGGCCTTCTAACCATTCTGTGCTTTTTCCACATTTGCATTATGGGATATACAATATGTTATGCACGATGGGTATTTTCTGACACATAGTAAGTACTTAGTTAATGCTAACTGGCTTGTGTTTTCTTATACTACTAGCTATGTGACCTTGTGCACGTCACTTAATGCTTGGAAAGTCTGCTTCCCTATCTACTTTAATTAAGATGTTAATTACACTGCTTTCTTACAGGGCTTTTTTGAAGAGAGCTAGCATTGAATCACTGTGTCAGGATCCAGAAGGATTTTGACAGGCCAGAATGTTGGGCTAGATATAATAAGATCACATGTAATGGTGATAAAGATAGTCTTGACTTTAAGTATACAACGGTAGGGAGGTAGGGAACCAGGAGGCACATCTAGATAGTGTTCCTCAACAGTGTGATACAAAAAAACAAAAAAACAAAAATTGGAGTCCTATCTTAAGTCTTTTTAGGAGAGGCATGGTCAGAACAAGGAAGATTATAATTCTACTCAACTTGGCCTAGCTCAGACCGAATCTGGAATGTTATATTCCAGTTTGGGCATTGTGTTTTAGTAACGAAATTGGTAACCTAAAGAGTTATTTGAGGAGAGTGGCCAGATTGGTGAAGGACCTAAAGGATCTCTTAAGGAATGGGGCAGGTAACGTGGAAAATTGGATGATAGAGTATTTGAAGGAAGGGCCATCATGTGGAAGAAGGGTTAGATTAATTCTGGCTGGTCCCAGAAAGCAGACCTTAGGAGTAGTAGGGGAAGACATAAGGAGGCAGATTTAGTTTGGATGTAAGAAAAAAATTTCTTTCCACAGCTATTTGCCGGAGGGGTGAACTGCCTCAGGAGGTAGTGGATTCTCTTTTTAGAAACCTTCAAGCAGAGATCAGCTAACCACTTGTCAGGTGTCTGGTAGAGAGAATCTTTGTTCAGGTATAGAGGTTGGGCTAGAGAGCCTCTGAGGCCCCTTCATATTCACAGGTGGGCTGAAAGACAGATAGGATGTCGTGAAGGGACAGCTGAGGGCCCTTCCCCTAGCTCTGGAGGGCATTTGCCAATAATATCTCTTTCCTCTTTGCTTTTCTCCACAGATGGAAGATGGGCATTCCCTTTTTGACTATAGCGTTGGTCTGAACGACATTGTTCAGCTGCTAGTGCGACAAAGCCCAGCTGTACTTTCTGTTCCTAGTAAAGAGAAGGATTCTGAACTCTCTGATACAGATTCCGGCTGTTGTTCAGGCCAGAGTGAATCCGATAAGAGTTCCAACCACGGAGAAGGAGCCCTGGAAATTGATGGGCAACCTGGCCCAGCTGCTCAAGCAGACTGGATTGATCCAGGATTTGGCCTCTATAAGGTAAAGTTCTCCATTTTGGATTTTTGATGTGTGTTACTCTTTGGAATATGATTTCTTAACCTTTTCCATTCTGTGCCTCACATTTGTGAACCTTTCTGTGTGTACCTGGGGTCACTTTTCCCTTCCAATTCCTCCTCATTCCTGAAAGAACCATTGGTCTAAGCATGCAACTAAATGTCAGCAATCATTTAAGTTTTTACTATGTGCCAAGCACTGTGCTGGGCACTGAGGAAACATGCGGAGAATGAAATAATTCCTACTGTTTAGGGGCTCACATTCTCTTGAGGGAGACAGCATACACATATATAAGTATGTACAGGATCAATACAAAGTATACACAAGGAAGTTAGGGTGGAACACATTAGCATCTGGGAGCTAAGGAAAGGGTTTTTTATAGAAAAGTAGTGCTTGAGAAATTATGTCTTGAGAGGAGGAGAGAGGACTTCTGTGAGGCAGAGACAGGGAGAAAGACAGGAAAACAGGCTCTCACCAAGGCCTGGAGACAGGGACCCAGACAAAGCCATTTGAGCTGGAGCATGGAGTGCAAGGAGGTGGGCACTGATGTACAAGGAGGCTGGGAGGATTTTGAGTTATGGCCATTTGGGAAGGGCTTTATAAGACAAAAGAGTTATTGTTTGTCCTAGATAGCAGGGAGCCCCTGAAGTTAACCGAGTAGGGGAGTGATATGGGTAGCCCTGTGGAGAATGGTTTAGAATGGGGAGACACAGAAGGCAGGGAGACCGATTAGGAGGCCATTGCAGTAGTCAAGGATATGGGTGATAAGGACCTGAACTAAGGTGATGGCTGTGTAAGGAGTGAAAAGGGGTTGGATGTAAATGAGATTGTGCATGTTAGGAACAGCAAGATATGGCAAGTTGATTGGACATGTGAGCTGAGGGAGAGTGAGGAGTCAAGAATTAGGGACAGATTTACAGACCTGGGAGCCTGGAAGAATGGTGCTGTCTTTAACAGAAATAGAGAACTTTAGAAGAAAGGTGGACTTGGAGGAAGAAGAGTTGTTTTAGACATGTTGAGGTAGAGACATCTGGGATATTGAAATGTTCAACAGGCATTTGGGATTGAAGCCTGGAAGAGACTGGAACTGGATGTAGAATAGACCTGAGTCATCTTCAGAGAAATGGTAATTAAACTTGTTATCTTTCACCAAGAGACAGAATGAAAGAAATGAATGACTGAAAAGACATTATTAAGCCAGTGATATGCCAGGCACATAAACTGAGGAGAAAGCCTTGGAAAGCACCCACAGTTAGTGGGTGTGATAAGGATCATAAGCCAACAAAGGAAGCAGAGAAGCAGTGGGCAGGCAGATCAGAGGAGAGCTCGGAGTGAGAAGTACCACAGGGACCTGGAGAAGAGAGGGTATTGGGGGTGTGTGTGTGTGTGTGTGTGTGTGTGTGTGTGTGTGTGTGTGTGAGACACACAAGGTGGTCAAACAGTATCAGATGCATCAGAAAGTCCAAAAAAAAAGTATAGAAAAGATTAGCAGATTTGGCCATTAAGAGATCATTGATAACTTTGGAGTGAGCATTTTCATTTGAGTTATGACATTGGAACGCCAGACAGCAAAGGGTTGCAGAGTGAGTGGGAGGAGAAGAGGAGGTATCAGATGTAGGTAACTTTTTCTAGGAGTTTGGCTGAGGGAAGAGATGGGTCTACTGAAGGCTTTTTAAAGATTGGGAAGACTTGGGCATGCTTTCAAGACATGATCTCAAACATGCAATAATGCACATAAGCACTTTGAAAATTTGAAATAATTGTTTTAATGTGTTGTTATTAGACAATTAAGTGGCACAGGGGAGAGAACACTGGACCTGGAGTCAGGGAGACCTGAGTTCAAATCAAGCCTTGGACATTTACTGGCTGTGTGACCTGGGCAAGTCACTTAGCCTCTGATTCAGTTTCCTTATCTGTAAAATGGGAACAATAATAGTTCCTACCCAGGGTTGTTGTGATGATCAAATGAGATGTTTGTAAAGCCCATTGAAAACTTTAAAGTGCTTTTAAAATTTTTTGTTATTATTATTATTATTATTTTCACAGTAGCTGTCTCCCCTTTATAGTTATTACTCCCTTTGTTGTTTTGAACAAAAATTGAGAAAGGAGAAAAATTAGGAAACTGTGACTCATCGTTATATGCAGATATATTTTCCACAACAAGCGATGTTAGCTTGGAGTCTGAGGACTTTTTAAAAAATAATTTATTTATTTTTAGTTTTCAACATTCACTTCCATAAGATTTACAGTTTTAAGTTTTCTCCCTTTCTGTCTCCTCCCCCTTCCCCAAGATGACATGCTATCTGATATAGGCTCTATTTAAACATGCACATTAAACATATTTTCACATTAGTCATGATATAAAGAAGAATTAGAGCTAATGCGAAGAACTGTGAGAAAGAAGAAACAAAATAAAACAACAAAAGAAAAAGAGCAAATAGTGTGGTTCCATCTGCATTCAGACTCCATAGTTCTTTCTCTGGATGTGGATAGCATTTTCCATCATGAGACCTTTGGAGGTGTCTTAGATCCTTGCATTGCTGAGAAGAGCTAAGTCTGTCAAAGTCAATCATCGCACAGTGTGGCTATTTCTATGTACAACGTTCTCCTGGTTCTGCTCATTTCATTCTGCATCAGTTCATATAAGTCTTTCCAGGTTTTTCTGAAGTCTGCCTGCTCGTCATTTCTTATAGCACAATAGTTTTCCATTACATTCATATACCACAGCTTGTTCAGCCATTCCCCAATCGATGGGCATTTCCTCAATTTCCAATTTTTGGCCACCACAGAAAGGGCTGCTATAAATATTTTTGTACATGTGGGTCCTTTTCCCATTTGTGTGATCTCTTGGGGATGCAGATCTAGAAGTGGTATTGCTGAGTCAAAGGGTATGCACATTTTTATAGCCCTTTGGACATAGTTGTGGACTTTTTCTTTTATAAATATTTTGGTAACTATACTTCAAAATAAATGTTTTTTTTTTTTTGGTAATCCTATGTAGTTTATTTTATGCATTTGTGAACATTTTTCTGAGAAGAGATCCAGACTTCCCCACACTGACTGTGAAAGGAGTCCAGGACACAAACAAGGTTGAGAACTCCTGATCTAGAAGAATTAACTTTCTATTATATTGTCAAAAGATATGAAGTCTGCTTTAATTCGATTTAATTCAAGAAGTCATTATTAAACACTTGTATGCAGAGGGCCAGTGGTAGGTGGCGTCTGGGTGGTATAGTGCAAAAAGTGCTGGACTTAGAGTGGGGAAGTTTCTAGTTTGAATCCTGCCTTAGTCACTTTCTAGTTATGTGATCCTGAACAAGTCACTTTGCCTCTCAGCCTCAATTTCCTCATTTGTAAAATAGGGATAGCAAGAACACTCCTAAGTGTGATTGTGAGGATCAAATGAGATAGAATATATAAAAGCACTTAGCAAACCTTAAAGTGCTCTGTAAATTCTAGTTATTCTTGTTATTATTAGGTGCTGGAACTGCATCCTCAATCCATTCTCTACTTTCCCTCCTCCTCTCCCCTCCCCTTGACTTCAGGACCTCTTGGTATCTTCATGCACCTTCTTTCACTAAAGAATAGCTGTCCCTTTTTGGCCAAGGCTATCCTTTCTATCATTTTCTTTGCTCCACCAATTACTTCTTTTCTCTTTGCATCTCTAATCTTTCTCTCTCATTTTCCTCTTTACCTACAAAGGCACTCAGATCTCCAGATCCTTAAACAGAAACAGCAACTGTAGGAACCCCTTCTTTTGACCTTTTTGATTCCCTCAAGCTACTTTAAATCTCTTTTCTACATTCATAGATTTAGAGTTGGAAGGAAATCTAGAGGTCATCTTGTCCAACTCCCTCATTTAACAGAAGAGGAATCTGAGACTCAGAGAGGGGAAAGGACTTATCCAAGGTCCCACTGACAGATGGCAATGGTGGGTTTCAAATTCATGGCCTCTGGTACCAGATCTAGTATTTTTCCTCTATACCTTGCTGTCCGGTCACTGCTGCCTCCCTCTTTATCACCCTATAATCTGACTTCCATCCCGTGTACTTCTCTGAAACTGTTTCTCAAAGGTCATTCAAAGACTCCTCTTGACCAAATTTATTGGCCTTTTCTCTATCTTCTTTCACCTCTTTGTATCATTTGACACTTGTCATCTTCTCCTTGATACTTTTTATTTCCTTGGTGCCTTTAACACCACACTTCTGGTATTCCCGTCTTTCAGATAACTTCTGCTTTGTTTCCCATGGCGCCTCTTTTGCCCTAACCCCTCCCCCCCAACTCTGGTCTTGGCTTTTTCCCCTTATTTATTTTTATCCTTTCTCCCTTGGTTATCCTAAAGCTGTACCTGTTATCTCAGTGCCCATGATTCCCAGCTCTTCATTTCCAGCTTTGAGCTGTCCTGGGAGGCTCCAAATGTGTGTTATTTCCAGTGTCTTACTGGCTTTACTTTCATACTCAGGCTTGACTCCATGGTATGTTAAATTGTTTTACTAGTCACTCCTCTAGGACCCTGAGGACCTGCTAACTTGCTCTTTTCTTTTCTCCACCTGTTAATCCTTATTCCTGGGAACCTCCACCTTTAGACTTCTCTTCTTCTAATCCTAGGCTGTAGTGCGTCCGTGGAGAAAGTTGTGATATCAGGCTGTTCTCCCTTACTTCACGTTTCTGCTGTGCAGCCTCATTGGCTGTCACTGCTTTGCCGAAGTCCTTAACTCTTCTCTTACAGATTCCTTCTTTCCCCTGGAGTGACTATTTCAAATCATATTTTCTCTCTTTAAGTCCTCGACTGTACCTCCAACCCCATTAAGATGATTTGGCCTTCTGTTTCACAGAAAAGGTAGAGTTCGTTTAATGTGAGTTCCCTGAGCTCCTCTTGCATTTTTCAAAACTTCTCAGTATCATCTTCTCTTTATCGTTCTCCTCTTTTCTTCTGTTAGAGAAGAGGCCTTACTGAGGCTGTATTTGTTCCCTTAATCGCTTTCTCTAGGCTTCTGGGCCCTCACTTCATCAGTGATGCCTTTTCTCCACTGATTGCTTTCTGTCTCCTTGCAGATGTGCTCATCTTTTCAAACCTTCCCCTGACATTTCTAGCCCATCCAGCTACCACTTCATTTCTCTTCTGAAAAACTTGAGGAAATTTTCTATACCTAATACTTCAGTTGCTTAATCTCCCTACCCTTGTAACCTATTCTGAAATTTCTGTCACCACCACTAGAATGAAACTGTTCTCTCGGAATTCATTAGTGACCTGATTGCTAAATTCAAAGGCTTTTCCCCCACCCTCCCACTCCCCACCTTCTCCATTGCTCCTATTCCTCATTGTTCTTGATTTCTTTGACGCATCTGACACAATTGACCACTATCTATTTTCCCTTTGCTTCAGAGGCATTTCACTCCCCTCCTGTTTCCTGTGTTGGTTCCTTGTCTTCTTCCTGGCCTAATATGGTGTCTTTGTGTTTTTGGCCATCTTCTCCCTCTATACACACTTTTTTGGCAATCTTACTGACTCCCTGTATTCACAGAGGAAGCACTCTCACCCATGCAGAAGATTCCCCAAAATGTATTATCTCTAGTCTTAGACCTTTCTCCTGTTATCTAGATGAGCCTTACCACCTATCTGCAGGACATCTATACCTTTATGTCTCACATTACTTCTAACAAAATGTTTCTAGAATCAGAGCTGCGTATCTTTTTTAAATCTGCTCTTGGTTTTTCACTTTGTCTCTCTTTTATGTGTAGATCTGGTCTTGTCATTTATTTGTTAAAATCTTCACTGGTTCTTAATTGTCTTTTAAGTCCTGTTTGTTCTTTTGCATGACATTCCAGACCCTACAATTTGGTGCTAATCTACCTTTCCAGCTTTAATTTATATTATTCTCTTTTACATATTCTGTGCTCTAGGTTGATTGATTCATTTGTTCTTCTTACTTACCTCTACTTATTCACCTTTGTGTCTTTACTAAAATAGCCTTCCTGTTTTTGCCTGTTTAATTCCTACTCATTCTTTAAAACCTAATTCAAATATCACCTCTTCCATGAAGCTTTTCCCTGATTTCTCCCTTGCCCCAGTATGCCCCCTTCCCTTTCTCTATATAATACATCTTTTTGACTAGGCTCTCTCAGACTACAGAAACTGTTATTGTATCTTTAAGAACCAAATGCTTGTTTTTGTTTGCCCTTCAATCTCAAAGAGGACCATGACATCATAGAGGAGTTGTCATGACTTGCAAGTGAGTTGGATTTAAGTGAGGGAGGGTGCAAAGTCACCAGCCTCACTCTCTCCTCCTGAGCCATCTGGGTCCAGTGGCAAGATATAGATCAGGATGCCTAGATCTGGCCCCTATGCAGGGGGAGGCCTTGGCCTTTTTGAGCTAAGGTTTTTCCCTGGTCTCAGTTTGTCTGAGGCAACACCCATTCAGTGATTAAGGCTAGGTAAAAATGAGGCAAAGAATGGTCTCTTTTACCTAGTCAAAAAAAATAACATAAAATCAATCTGTGAGGGGAAGACCCTCAGGGTTTCTGGCCAAAACAGAAACAATTGGTATTTACACTCACTCGAGCCATCAGAATCCAAACAATGACCAAATGAGGCTTGGGCTGGGACCCTTTGTTGGCCAATCTATGAGAGCCAGAGTGATTTGGGTTTAAGGCTGCCAAATGGAATGTTGTGGGAAAAGTAGTCTGAGGTGGCAGTTTAAAGTTAAGAGTCAGAAATACCTTGCTTTGAGAGGCTTCTCCCTGTGAAGTTAGGGAAAAGAGTTTATTTTTTAACTTTGATTTATGAGGAGATAAACTGGGGAGAAGACAGAGAAAGAGGATAAGGAGAAAACTTGTGAGAAATGTCTTAATTATGTGATTAAAATCATTATAAAGAAAATTATGTGGAAGAATTGGCAGTTTACAGTGTATTCTGGAATGACTGTTACTTTACTGTGATAGTTGAAGAGAGGATAAAGGAAAAGGAATAAAAATAACTTGGTTCCTGAGAGACCAAATTTAACTATTATCTTGAGAAATGCAAACAGAATTCTTGAGACTTTAATCAGAACCTGGAATGAACTGAATGGAGAAATTGTGGTCTGAAAGTAACAAGAAGTCGTTTGCTGTTAGAGTGAGAGTTTGAGGTGATTCTGGTTGTGATCTTTTTCGTAGACAAAATTTTGCAAATGTCTTTTATTCATTTCATTTTAATAAATTATATATTGATCAGTTTTGCTATTTACCCAATTCTAAGAAAATTAAGGGATTTAACGTAAAGAAGTATTAACAATTACTATTGAAAAAGGGAGTTTTTCCAGTTAATTTAATAAATGCTCTTTATTGAACTGGGGTGGGGGCTTGAGCCAGCTAATTAGTGAGAGGTTGAAATTGTATTAATTACTAAGAAAAATTCAAAGCATACCCTGGGATCATTGCTAATGCTTGGGATAGTAAGATTAAATATGGGAATGATTCCAGTAGCAGGCTGAAGGGTAACCTAAGGAGTGTTTGACCTTAGCCAACTCCATTAACTCTTGCCTCATGATAGGGTTGAGGGAAGGGCTAAACCTTTTAAACTTGCAAAATCAGTAATGACTCCCTCATCTAGGCCTTAAGGAGCACTTTGTTTTATATTGCTATAGTGTGCTTACCATGGATTATTTTGCATTTCAGTTATCTGTATCATATCCACCACTAGATTTATAAATCCTGTAAAGTCAGGGATTGTGTCTTATCTAAACGTTGTATCTCCCCCAACTCTGAGCACAGTGGCTTTGCACACAGTAGGTCCTTAATATCTGTTGAATTGTAGTGAATAAGCTGTCAAGTTCAAATTCTGAAAATTGGAAATTACCAAGGTCAGTGAAAAACTTTTCCTTATTCATCTGTAGATCAATGAATATGTAGATGCCCGGGATACAAACATGGGAGCGTGGTTTGAAGCCATATTGGTAAATGTTACAAGGAAAGAAAAAGCAGCAGCCAGTGAATCCAGTGACAATGGAGATGGCCAAGTGGCTGAAGAGGATGTTATCTATCATGTGAAATATGAAGAGTGAGTTTGGAGTTGGTTTGTGGTTTCTGAATGGTCCCTCACATAGATGATTTTGAGGGTCTCTCATTTAGTTTGTCCCTGTGTAAGACTTCAATTCATAAAACTGTTTTGGAAGTCACATGAAGGAAAAATGGTTAATGGGGATACTCCTACACAAGCATGAAAATTAATTGTGGGTAATAGAAAGAGTGCTGGTCTTAAGAATCAGGAGTGTATTTGAAATGCTTCAGAGACTTACTGTGGCCATGGAGAAAATCACTTACACACTTGGAACCCCTCTAAGTTTTCCCTGCCTTTAAAATGGGGTAATAGCACCCTACCTCATAAGGGTTAGGGATCAAATGAGATAATGTATATAGAGAACGTTGCATACCTTAAAATTATAAATGTTAGTTATTATGTAATCTTGGCATACATTTGTAATAATTCATTTCAAGGGAGGAGAGTTTAGTTTTTCATATATAGTCTTTGTATATCTGTTAATTGATTATTGTACTTTTTATTTTTAAAGCTATCCAGAAAATGGCATTGTGAAGTTGAGTTCAAAAGATGTAAGAGCTCGGGCTCGGACAATACTGAAATGGCATCAGCTGGAAGTTGGACAAATTGTGATGGTGAACTATAATCCTGATGAGCCCAAGGAGAGGGGCTTTTGGTATGATGCTGAAATTCTTCGAAAACGGGAAACTAGGACTGTTAAAGAGATCTATGCAAACTTACTGCTTGGGTAAGTTGCATGTGATTGTGAGTGTACCTCATAATGTCACAGTAAGTTGATATAATTGAAGTGTTGGCCATAGTCAAGAACTGGTGATTTCTTGAAAATTAGAGGTATTAAAGTAGCCTAATTTAGCTTAGAAACATAGAGGATCAGCCCTCCAGGGAGCCTTGAAGATCATCTAGTCCAGTCCAAACTCAGAAATGGGGACTGCTAAACCATACTTAACTGATCCCTTTGGGGCCTCATATTGACTTAGTTTTAAAAAATACTGTCCTCTATGTTTTATTGTATTTTTATTTATCTTGTTAAATACTTCCCAAGTACATTTTAATCTGGTTTGGGTTGCACTTGGGAATGTTGTGGGCTGTGTGTTTGACACCTGATCTAGTCCAAATGCTTTCTGTGACCCAGAAAGAGGAAGTGACTTACCCACGTTCTCTCAGTGAGGTTGTTATAAGCAATGGAATTTGAATTCAAGGCTCTTGATCTCTAGTTCATTGTTCTTTTCACTGTACAACACTAGCTTATGGATAATTAATAAATTCAATCTGAAGTAAAGGAAGAGTCATTAGATTGGGATTCTACTCTTGAATATTTCATCTCTGAGAACTATCTTTAACATAGAAAAAAGTTGAAATTGGCCTTATTTACTTTATAGTGCTGTTTGCTTTTGAGTTGTCATTATTTCCTTAGTTGCCAAATATGTGAGGGCCTACCCCTCTGAATCTGAAGAATTTCAACTTAGTGATTGGAAACACTTTTTTGAATGGGAGACTGCTGAGGATGGAAGAGTCTCAGCTGTTTTCACAAGTGATCTGCAAGGGGTGTTGATTAACAATGTTAGCTTCCAGATCTATTTTCCAAATGCATGCAAAACAGGAACAAGCCTTGAGTGAGTTTTCCAGTGCTTTCAGCTCGGTATTGCAAAAGAAACCATTAGTTGGGGGAGCACTGAAGTCACTTCTGCTCTCAAGCTCAGTTTCTCCATCTGCTTAGTGGGGAAAGTGATAAATCTTACTACATGCCTTGTGCGGTTTTTGCAAGGAACATTAAACCTTAAAAATACTTTTTAAAAGTAGATTTTTATGAGTTCCAATTAATTTCACATATAATAATAATAAATTATGTGAGGTAGAATAGAGAACTGACCTTGGAGTTAGAAAGATCTGGGTTCAAGTCTGTCTTTTGATGCATATTAGCTATATGACCATAGGCTGAAAATGATTTAACTTCTCAGTGCCCAGTCAGTTAATTAACTCTAAAACTTAAGTTATAGACAGATCACCAGTCTGTTTCTCTGGACGGTATTTGTCTCCTAGGAGTTCTCCACATTGATGAAATCACAAATTTGAGTCAAGGAAATAGGTTATCATTGACTGACATATTCAAGAGAAATGAAATGTTGTCAGAACCCCAGTCTGAGAGCCACAAGACTTATAGTAGAGCCAGAACCTGTTCTGGTCCTGGCTCTGCTGTGAGCTAGTTGTGCTGCTTTGGACAAGACATTTCCTTTCTCCAGTCTCAAGTCTCCTTATCTGTAAAACTTTGGACTAATTGGTCAATAAAGTCTCTCTTAGTTTTAAGATTCTATGGTAACATGGTGAGTGATATGTGGATCAGGTAAAAGGAAGTAGATTGATTTAAACATTCTGTATTATGTAAAAACTTGATTAAAATTTTTACTTATTATCTATGGATTTATTTCAAGGTAGTTCTTGGCAATCTTAAAAGATAATGATGACTGGGGCAGCTAGGTGGTGCAGTGAATAGAGCTTTGGCCTTGGAGTCAGGAGGACCTGAGTTCAAATCCAGCCTCAGACACTTACTAACTGTGTGACCCTGAGCGAGTCACTTAACCCTGATCACCTCAGCAAAAAGTAAAAAACAAAAAAACAAAAAAACAAAAACAAAAAAAGATAATGATGACTGTAAAAGATTTTAGCCCCATATAAAACTGCCTGCTTTGGTGAAAAGAGCCTGAGGTTTAGAGTTAGAGGACTTGGGCGCCAAACCCAGCTCCTGCTCTTCCTGCTTGTTTGAGCTCGAGCGCTTCCCCTCTAACACGAGGAGGTTAGACTTCATGTGAGGTCCCTGCCAGTTCTCATTCATATGCTCCTATGTGATGGGGATGTAGCACCAGTGCCAAGTTAAGTAATGTTTAGGGATTGGTGCTAGTGTGACCTCACACACTTCTACAACTGCCATCATACTCTCCTAAATCCTTTTTATCAGCTATGCTGAGAAGTTCTTTGTTACTGTGTTTTCTTGCCCTTCCACCATTAGCACCATGGTGCCCTACCTCCTTTTCTCTCTATTAATACCTTATTCATATCTGTATTGTCTTCTGGTTTTTTTTTGTTCTTTTGGTTTTGTTTTATAATGTCTTGATTTCTCATAAAGTCATAAGCTTCCATTTGCTCCATTCTAATTTTTAAGGAAGTATTTTCTTCAGTGAGTTTTTGAACTTCCTTATCCATTTGGTCAATTCTGCTTTCTAAGGCATTCTTCTCCTCATTGGCTTTTTGGACCTCTTTTGCCATTTGGGTTAGGCTATTTTTTAAGGTGTTATTTTCTTCTGTATTTTTTTGGGTCTCCTTTAGCAAGCTGTTGACTTGTTTTTCATGATTTTCTTGCATCACTCTCATTTCTCTTCCCAGTTTTTCCTCTTCTTCTCTTACTTGCTTCTCAGAATTCTTTCTGAGCTCTTCCATGGCCTGGGACTGATTCATATTTTTCTCGGAGGCTTTGGATGTAGGAGCTTTCGCTTTGTTGTCTTCTTCTGGTTGTATGTTTTGATCTTCTTTGTCACCAAAGAAAGATTCCATGGTCTGACTTTTTTTTTTTTTTTTGCAATGTTTGCTTATTTTCCCAGCCAATTACTTGACTTTTAAACCCTTTGGTAAGGTAGGGGTCTGCTTCCAGTGTGGCGAATGTACTGTCCCAAGCTTTGGGGGTTTTGTGCAGCTGTTTTCAGAGGCTTCTAGGGACCTATAAATTTGCAGTTCTTCCAGGGTGGTATGATCAAGGGTGAGGTGTTTACTCCTTTCCTGGCCTGTGCTCTGGTCTATGAGTGACCCCAAGCACTCTTTCCTGCCTTGGAACTGTGAGGAGGATTCCCCCTCCAGTGCCACCACAAGCTCTACCACCTAGTGCTCCTCCACACCCCAGGACTGCCAGCCAGGACTGTGACCCAGATCCAAGCACAGGCAGAAAGGGAATCCTGCCTCAGCTCCAGCAAAGAGATCTCTGCAATCCCTCTCTGATTGGCCACTTGATCCCCCCTCAGTCTGTGGGCTGAGAGCTCTGGAAGGAACTGCTGTCGCCCCAAGGCTGGGGCCGGACCAAGCTCCTCTCTCACCGAGGGACAGACCTTTCCTATTGACCTTCTAAGTTGTCTTTGGCATTTGTGGGTTGAGAGGTCTGGAAACTGCCACAGCTACCCATGATTCAGTCCCCTGAGGCCTGCTCCAGGTTCCTGAGGCCTGGTCTTTCCCTGCATGCCCATGCTGAACTGCTGCGCTCCTCTCCCAGCCCGGCGCAACAGACTTTTCCTGCTGACCTTTCAGGTTGTCTTGGGCTTGAAATTTGTTTCACTCTTTTTGTGCGTTCTGCTGCTTTAGAATTTGTTTAGAGCCATTTTTTACAGGTATTTGGAGGGGTTTGGGGGAGAGCTCAAGCAAGTCACTGCTTTTACTCAGCCATCTTCGCTCCGCTCCCCCTTATTCATAGCTAGACATAAAGTTTTTAAAAAAGTAGCTTGTCACCCATGTCTTTTAGGTGGAGTGTGGATCCTATACTTGTCAGCTACAGGGACTCGTCAGTCTACTTCAAGCTTCCTTCCCACCCTTCTTGTCCCTCTGACACATTTATGTGTTTTCAATGAACAGATGAAAACATAGCCATCTTCTGTGCTTCGTTGTTCTTCTCCTTTTCCCTTAAGGCTCCATCAAGTATTGATCCTTATGCCTGGAACATTCTCCCTGACCAGTTGTGCCCACCCTTTAAGGTCCAGCCTGGATGCCTCCTCTAATATGCCTTCCCCCTTTCTTTGCCCTACTCTTACTTTCTCCCTCAGATTTCACATTGAAAGCACCTTATATCACATGTCTCTAATGCACTTATCAGTTGTTATTTATTAGTTATGTGGTTTTTTTTCTCCAAGCATACTGTTAGCCCAATAAAGCAAGAATCTTGTGTTATATAAACTTTGTGTCCCTTAGCATCATGCATTACCCATAGTAGAGGAAGAGAAGAGAATAACCATTTATATAGCACCTACTATATGCTAGGTACTTTACAAATATTATCTCATTTGATCCTCACAACTATCCTGTGAGGTAGGTGATGCTATTATCCAGATTTTACAGATGAAGAAAGTGAAGCAGATGACAGTTTAGGAACTGCCTGAGGTCACATAGCAAATAAGTGTCCGAGAACAGATTTGAACTCCAATCTTCTTGACTCCATGTCTGGAGCTCTGTGCCACCTAGTCACCTATTAAGTAGGTGCTTAATAAGTGTTTGTTAAATTGGACTGTATTATTTGTCCGATGCATTTGTGGGGCTTACTAATATCTTTTTAAATTCTGCCTCCCGTGAGTGTAAAAAAAGTGGGTATATGGAAGGGGTTTGGGACTGCCGACCCTGGGAGTCTCAGTATTAATGTTAAGTCTGAAGCTTTGGCCTAGAGAGTGGAAGATGAAGGAGGAGAAGTAATTGTCTCTCGGCTATTTGAGCAGCTCTGGGCAATCATTGGCACTTTGGATTGGGAAGACAAGAGGTGCACGTGTCTCAGAACCATCTTCTTTTAGGTTCCCCCCTCTCTAAATTTGCCACATACACACACACACTTTTTTGGGGGGTATATATTTTATATATTCTTATTTTTTGCACATTGTGTCTCCTGATAGAACATAAGTTTCTTGAGGTCAAAAATTGTTTCTTTTTCAAGGGGACTGGGTGGAGTGCTTCTGACACAGACTGGCCATGTGACTATGGACTTCCCTAAGCAGCTTTTTAAGGCCACAGATTCCTGCATTAGTAAATGGGGAGTTCCTACCTTAGTGAAATCCCACAGAGGCTCAGGCTAAGCCCTGCCCATCCTTATTACCATTACTGCTTAAGAAATGGTTCTGGATCAACTGACTGGAAAGAACACTAGGTTTAGTGTTAGGGGACTCATCTCTAACCTAAGCTAGGGTACATGTCTTAGCACTTTTGGGCAGCTTCGTGCACTTTACTTTTGTCTCAGCATCCTATGTCAGCTTAGACAGTTGACACACAGTTTTGATCCTTTGTTCCCACTCCCTGCTTTTTGTGAAATGGGATACTGTCAGTTTTGCAGTAGGTATTGTAGTGAATGTGTACTTATTGCATTAGTTAAAAACTGATTTCAGGATATTGGAGGAATAAGTGAGTGATTGTCATGGCAAAAGCTGAATTTTATATGTGAATTTGTTATAGGGATGCTGCAGATTCTCTGAATGATTGTAGAATAACTTTTGTGGATGAAGTTTACAAAATTGAGGAGCCTGGCAGTGTGAGCCCAGTTGGTTTCGAAAACCCTTTGAAAAGTGAGTCCTGGTAACCCTTCACTGTTTTTCCATGGGATGTTTTTAGTGTTCTCATACTTCGGTGGTAGAAGACTGGCTTTTGTAAACTGACGTGCTTCTTTTGTGTTGGTATCTGTCTCTGCTTCATGACCTTCTGCATTTAGGACAGAGTGGCCCCATTTGCAAACACTGTAAAGATAACCCCAATAAGACCTGCCGAATGTGTGCCTGCTATGTGTGCGGAGGAAAGCAAGACCCTGACAAGCAGCTGATGTGTGATGAGTGCGACATGGCCTTCCACATCTACTGCCTTAGCCCTCCACTGAGCCGGATTCCAGATGATGAGGACTGGTGAGTTTCCATGTCGCAGGACACCCTGTCTGCAGTTTTCTGGGGTAAGGGTTGAAGAGAAGCAGTTGTGAGAGACTGACACTACACCTTATAAAGACCTAAGTCCCCTTCTTCATATATCTTGGTTTGGAGGAACTGAACAATTTAGGTAACTGTTTCCTCAAAGTACTAGACGTGGTGGGTCGGGGATGGGGTGGGGAAGTTGGAAAAAGACACCTGAAATACCTGGCATCTGCCTGTAGAGCCTCTGATGGGCCAGGCTGGAGTGTGGAGGAACAAAGCAGAGGCATCACCTGAAAAACCTGTACTCATCTGTGATGCCTGTGTGCACCAGACAGCCTGAAATGAAATGAAGTGCTGAGGGACTTGGGGGAAATGAATTGAATGGAGCCAGGCAGGCTTCCATGGTGAGATCTGGGGTTTCAGGGAGAGGGGCACATGGGTTATAGATGGAGAATCTTTTCTTCTTCTTCTTCTTTTTTTTTTTGGTGAGGCAGTCGGGGTTAAGTGATTTGCCCAGAGTCACACAGCTAGTAAGTGTCAAGTGTCTGAGGCCGGATTTGAACTCAGGTCCTCCTGACTCCAAGGCCGGAGCTCTATCTAATGTACCACCTAGCTGCCCCGAGAATCTTTTCTAGAAAGATACAAAAGAAATAGAACAAGTTTGGTGAGTGATTTGCTTAGGTGAAGTGGGGATTCTGTGGTAAAGAGACTAGGATGGGGGATCGAAGCCTCTGTTGACTGTGTTAAAAATAACTTGCATTTTATAGTGCTTGAAGGTTTATAAAATAATTTCCTTGAAACAGAGCTTTGATGTATGAAATCTAGATCTTTGCACCATTTTATAGATGAGGAAGCTGAGGCCCAGCATGGAGAAGTGGGTTACCCAAGGTCACACAGTAGGAAATAGTAGCATTAGGAGTCATCTTCAGGCCTCTTGGCTCCACAGCCGGTGCTGTCTTTGTTAACAGTATAGCTGCTTCTTCCAGATCTCGGTGGGATAGGATGAAAAGGATGTTTTCAGTCAATCAGTAAGCATTTATTAAGCAGCTATTATGTACCTGGCTTTCTGCTAGATGTTAGGGATGCAAAGATAACGATGAAATAGCCCCTGCACTTAAGGAGCTAACACTGTGCTGGGGAGACTTGCAAGCACATATTTAAGTATAAGGTGGCATTTATGTTGAGCTTTGGGGGATGCCTGGGATTCTCAGAAATAGAGATGAGGAGAAAGAGCATTCTAGGCTAGGGGGACAGCCTGGGCAAAGGCCAGAAAAGGAGTATTAGGTGTGAAGAAAGTCTTTTGGGCTGGACTGAGGAGTACATGAAGGTGTGTAATGCATAAGAAGCTTGAAAAGAAGCAGGTTAGAGAAAATTGTAGAGGGCTTTACCTTCCAAATGGAGGAGTCTGTATTTTGCCCTAGAGGTAATATGGAGCTACTGCAGTTGTATTGAGTAGGGGACTGACATGGTCAGTCCTCTGCTTTAAGAAAATATCTTGGTATCTGTGTGGAGGATAGATTAGAGAAAAGGGGGGAGGTAGGAATTAAAGCAGGTAGACCATTTAGGTGGCTGTCACAGTAGTTCAGATGAGAAGTGATCAGGCCTAAACTAGGGTGTGAAGGGTGGAATAGAGAGAGAAATGTTGAGAACATAGAAATGACAAGACTATAAAAAAATATCATTTTGAAGTACAAGTGAGAAAGGTTGAAGTCAGGTAGGTTTTTTCCAGGATAAATGTACTATGATAATTTAAGAAATATGTCCTTATCTTTTACTCATTTTAAATATTATTCTGCTATGACCGGTGGATAATTTTATGGATATATAATTATAGGTATTGCCCTGAATGTCGGAATGATGCCAGTGAAGTGGTCTTGGCAGGGGAGAAGTTAAAAGAGAGCAAAAAGAAGGCAAAGATGGCATCTGCTACATCATCGTCTCAAAGAGACTGGGGCAAGGTGTGGGAAACAACTTTTTATTTCATTTTGATATTTTAATGGTACATTAAGGTTTTCTTACTGACTTTTTTTCTCCCAAATTATTCTTCTTAATATAGGGTATGGCATGTGTGGGGCGCACAAGGGAGTGCACTATTGTGCCTTCTAATCATTATGGACCAATCCCTGGGATTCCTGTTGGTACCATGTGGAAGTTCAGAGTGCAGGTATAACAGGGCCGGCAGTGTGAGTTTGTGGTGATATTTCAGTGGAAGGGTATGTTCATTGAGCCTCATGTTAGATTGGATGTGATCAGAGGTGGTGAGATGTGGTGGTGTGGAATCGCCTTGGTTTGTGGTCTTGTCTTGTGTCAAAAGAAATTCTTTTGGGGAGGAGGTACTTAAGGTCCTAGAATGCCATTTATGTAAACCAGTGCACCATCCCCCACGGCAAAAATAAAAATACCTTATCCCAGTCTCTCCAAAATGGTTTAAGGGGTTAAGATTGTGTTTAAGTTACTGTTTTTTTTTTTGAACAAGTTATATTTAAATGTTAGAATGTTAGAGCTGGAATAGATCTGAGAGATCGTCTGGGTCAACCCTGGTACTTTATAGATAGGAAACTGATAGAGGTCAAGTGATTTGCTCAAGGTCTCATAGTAGTAGAGAGGACGTGAACTCACATATCATAGACCCCTAGGCCAGTGCGCTTTTTACTCCCGCCATGATTTGTACAATTAGTTCACAAGTATGACCACCAGTTCTGTATTTGATCATGTTTTGTTTGAGAGGGTTGATGACCACTGTTGGGGGTGTTGTAGAGGGCATTCATGATTTAAATGTTGGTTTAACTAGATGAGGTAATCTATAATCTTTAAATTTAAAGTTGCCACCAACTAAATTGAATATATATATATTAAAATCTAGAAGTTAACCTTGGGGGTTGGGGTTTTTTGAAAATTTTTGACAATCACACAAAGTGGGATATGGTCTGGTTTCTGAGAATCGTGTTAGTCAAGACATGTATGATTTGTTGTGCCTTTCCTAGGTGAGTGAGTCTGGTGTCCATAGGCCCCATGTGGCAGGTATACATGGCAGAAGCAATGACGGTGCCTACTCTCTGGTCCTGGCAGGGGGCTATGAAGATGATGTAGTAAGTGATGTTTTGTAATTGTGTCTGCAAGAGAAGCTCTCCATCTTGTTCCCTGCTCACCTCGATAGGCTTAATTAACTGAGCCTTGGTCTGTGTGCTTCTTCCCTTCAGGACCATGGCAACTCTTTCACTTATACGGGCAGTGGAGGCAGAGATCTTTCTGGAAACAAACGGACCGCAGAGCAGTCCTGTGATCAAAAACTCACCAACATGAACAGGTTCATGGTTTTATGGATTTCTTTTCTGGTTACTGTTAAATCCTTAAGTTGACTTAGTCTGCAGGGAAGTATTTATTCAATTAATTTCATTGAACAAGAATACTTTGCTGTTGAACTTGAAAAAAGGGTAAAATTAATTTATTTTCCTAATTTAAAAAATATTTTTTAATTACATGTAAAAACAATTTTTAACATTAATTATTTTTTTAAAAAAATTCAAATTTTCTCTCTCCCTCCCCTCTCTCCTCATTGATGAGAGGGCAAACAATTTGGTAGATTATACATGTACGGTCATGCAAAATATTTCCAATACTAGTCATGTTTTGAAAGACACCCCCCCCCCAAAAAAAAGACCCAAGAAAAATAAGGAAAGTTTAAAAAAAGTATGCTTTGATCTGCATTCAGAGTCTCATCAGCTCTTTGGAGGTAGATAGCATTTTTCATCACAAGTCCTTTGGAATTGTCTTAGATGTATTGCTGAGAATAGCTAAGTGATTCACAGTTGGTCATCATACAGTATTGCTGTTACTGTGTATAGTGTTCTGGTTCTGCTCATTTCACTTTGTTCATATAATCGTATTTATCAGTTCACATAAGTCTTTCCAGGTTTTTCTGAAACCATCCTATTTATCATTTCTTCTAGCACAATAGTATTCCATCACAGTCATATACCATAACTTATTCAGCCATTCCCCAATTGATGGGCATCCCTTTGATCTCTAGTTCTTTCCCACCACAAAAAACAGCTGCTATGAATATTTTTGTGCATATAGGTCCTTTTCCTTTTTTTTTTTTTTTTAAATCTCTTTGGGATACAGACCTAGTAGTGGTATTGCTAGGTCAAAGAGTATGCACAGTTTTATAGCCTTTTAGTTATAGTTCCAGAATGGTTGTATCTGTTCACAACTCTACCAACAGTACATAAGCATCCCAATTTTCTCACATACCCTCCAACGTTTGTCATTTTCCTTTTTTGTCATATTAGCCAGTCTGATAGGTATGGGATGACATATCAGAGTTGTTTGAATTTGCATTTTTCTAATCTATCAATGACTTAGAGTTTTCATATGACTATAGTTGGCTTTGATTTCTTCATCTGAAAACTTCCTTTTCATATCCTTTAATCATTTATCACTTGGGGAATGACTTGTATTCTTATAAATTTGACTCAGTTCTCTATATTTGAGAAATGAGGCCTTTATTAGAGAAATTTGCTGTAAAAATTATCCCCTAATTTTCTGCTTTCCTTCTAATTTTGGCTACTTTGGTTTTGTTTGTATAAAACCATTTTAATTTAATGTAATCAAAATTATCCATTTTATATCCTGTGATATTCTCTTTCTCTTGTATGGTCATAATTTCTTTTTCTCCATAGTTCTGACAGGTAAACTATTCCATGTTACCCTAATTTGCTTATGGTATCACCTTTTATACCTAAATCATGTATCCATTTTGACCTTTTTCTTGATATGTGGTATGTGATGTTGCTCTATACCTATTTTCTGCCAAACTGCTTTCCATTTTTCCCAGCAGTTTTTGTCAAATAGTGAATTCTAGTCCCGAAAACTTAGATCTTTGTTTATTAAACACTGGATTACTAAAAGTCATTTACTGCTGTGTATTGTGTGTTTAATCTATTCCACTGATCCACCACTCTGTTTCTTAGCTAGTGAGAAACTCTGAGGGTCTTCCCCTCACAAACTGATTTTTTGGAGTAGGTAAAAGAGGCCATTCTCTGCCTCATTTCTTACCTCATCTTAATCACTGAATGGGTGCTGCCTCAGTCAAACTGAGATCTGGGAAAGACCTTAGCTTAAAAATGCCAAAGCTCCCACTGCATCCAGGGCCATCTCCAGTTGTCCTGATCTATATCTTGCCACTGGACCCAGATATCTCTGGAGGTGAAAGTGAGGCTGGTGACTCTGCACAGCCCTCCCTCACTTAAATCCAGTTCACTTGCATGTCTTGGCATCACCTCCCTGATATCATAGTCCTCTTCATGAATGAAGGACAAAAGTTAATTTTAGCCGGTACCCAATTGTTTTGATGACTACCACTTTGTAATCCAGTTTGAGATCTGGTATGGCTATGCTACCTTCCTTCACATTTTTTTCATTGATTCCCTTGATATTCTTGACCGTCTGTTCTTCCAGCTAAATTTTGTTATTATTTTTTCTATTTCTACAAAATATTTTTTGGTAGTTTGATTGGTATAGTACTGAATAAGTACATTAATTTAGGTTGAATTATCATTTTTATTATGTTGGCTTAGCCTACCCATTAGCTTATTTTTTCCAGTTCTTTTTTTTTTTAAGAGGTAGCTACAGGTTTGCATTTTCAGGGTATGAAATAATCAACTCAGCTTTCTCTCCATTTCTCATCCTGCCTTCCTAACCTTCCACACATGATACCTGTATTTTGTGCCTTTGTCTTTGTCTTTCCTAGACTACTACTTCCTAATGTTTTCTACCCTTTAATCTTTTAGAGCTCTGGCTTTGAACTGCAGTGCTCCTATCAATGATCGAGGTGGAGCTGAAGCCAAGGACTGGCGAGCTGGGAAGCCAGTCAGGGTGGTGAGAAACGTCAAGGGAGGGAAACACAGCAAATATGCCCCAGCTGAAGGGAATCGATATGATGGAATATACAAGGTAACTTCTGGTGTGAGCTTTTCTCTCTTTAGTGTTAAAAGTAATTTGGGTTTTTTTTTTCCCTTTGCTGACTGGATGAGTTGTCCCCCCCCCCCCCCCATATTGGATGTCATTTATACTTAATTTGCAACCCTTTCCAGGTAGTGAAGTATTGGCCTGAAAAAGGGAAATCTGGTTTCCTTGTGTGGCGTTATCTCCTCAGGAGGGATGATGATGAACCTGGCCCATGGACCAGGGAAGGGAAAGACAGGATGAAGAAACTTGGCTTAACAATGCAGGTAAGGTCAGGACAAGGCCTATGTTGGATTATGTTGTATTGACACATACTTCTGTGGAGGATGGGCTAGGAATTGCTAATTATATCCTCAAAGCAAATTATCCTTGACTAGGGAAAACTGTCTACCTAGTTTTTCTAGGTCAGCCCTTTAGAATACAAATCAAATTTATGTGTCTTTTATATATAGGACAAGTTTGCTAATGTGTTATGGGGGATTATATTCAGGTTGGTAAATATTTATTTTATACTTCTAACTTTTAACTGACTTTTTTTGTTTTTATATCACCTTTATTTCCAAATATAGCCTTCCTCCTCTCCATAGGGAACCATTGTGTAACAAAGACTAAAAAAAAGGTTAAAAAAAAGAAAGGTGAAGAAAAACAGTTGAGCAAAACTAACCAACAAACCAACCCAATCTGGTACTATGGACAGTGTTCCATGTCCATTGTCGTTCACCTCTGCAAAGATGAGAGGGGGTTACGTTTTTCTTCTCTTTGAGCCTTATCATTACAGTATCTAGTTTCATGTTTGTTGGTTTTTTCCCATTTATATTGTTGAATTGGTGTGTATTATTTTTCTGGTTCTGGTTTGGTAAACATTTGTTAAGTACCTATACTCTTCTAGGAGCTAGAGTTAAAGATAAAAAAGTCTTTAAGACAAATTTTCAATCTAATGGAAGAGATAAAACATGAAAACAGGTAGATACTAAGTTGGAGTGATAAATACAAAGGAGGGGTCTAGATAAATGTTATAAGAAATCTGTAATTATACAGAATTTTTCATTGTTCCACAGTGATTTGGGGGGGGTAGAAATGTAATTTTTATCATATTGGCTCTGCTTATCCATGAACAATGAATATTTTTCCATTTATTTAAATCTAACTTTATTTACATAAAAATGTTTTATAATTAAAAAAAAGGATTCTGACTAAGGCTAGAAGATTTTCATCGAGGTTAGGGAAGGCTTCCTGGAAGAAGTACTCTTTGAATTGGGCCTTGAAGGACAAGTGAGATTACAGTACACAGAGGTAATGGAGGGAGAAAGCTAGATTTAAGATCAGCATGGGCCAAAGTAGTGATAAGAATGCATGAGGAGGGTCATTCTGTGAGATACAGCAGTAAGATAGATTTATGCTGGATTGTATAGAACCTTGAAAGCTGGATTTTATGACTTTCATTGGTGAGTGACAGAACTCTTGAAAGTTTTTGAACTGTATTGGGAAATGCTGTAGCATGAATAGTCTTCCATTTTGTGAGCAAAGTTGTGAATTGTTCAGATTTACTCTGAGACTTGTGTGTAGGATGGACCAGCATTACTCTACTTGTTATTTTTGCAGTAATTGTTGTCCAAAGGAGAAGAGGTAGAATGGCCTCCTGTTTATTTACAGGAAGGCTTGGGATTCAAGTTCTACCTTTGGTGTCATTCACACAATTGGAATTAGGGAGACAGTGGTACTAATAATTCCTGCTGTTACTGTAGTGCTTTAAAAGATTTGTAAAAGCCTTTGCTCATGACCCCGAAAAATAGGTCATCCAGCTATAAGCCCCATTGCTTTGTAGCTGAGCAAACAGGCTTAGCTATAAGTGATTTGCACATAGTCACACAGTAGTCATGGCATCACCTTCCTGATGGGGTGGTCCTCTTTGAGAATGAAGGACAAACAACAGTTAGCATCCAAATTGGAATTTGAACGCAGGTTGCCCAACTGCAAATCCATTGTCTTTCTACGATATTATATTGTCTCTTATGATAAAATACATGATTGTATTTGGCTTCTATCTTTATTCTTATTGAATATAGTTAAATGGATGCTACTCAATGTTGATAGGCGAGGATAGATAAGACTTGGAAACAGACAGCCTGTGTTCCAAAACCTGTTTGGTGGTTCATTAGCTGTGGGACTGTGCAGATCACTTAACAACTTCTCTAAGCCTTCCTTTCTTTAGTTGTAAACTTCTGTAGGTTATGAGGGCAAACCTTAAAATGCTATATAAATGTCAACCCTTATCAACCATTGGCTGTTTTTTTCCTTTTGGGATTGCTGTTGCATCTTAGATTTGAAGACCTGTCCTTTTTTGAGTTAGATGATTGTATATTTCCCCTTCTCAATTGGAGGAGCATAAAATATCAACTGCCTTTGGGCACCACCATTGGTAGTTGTATTTACAATTCTTCTGTCACTTGGAAATTTGAAATGGGAAAATGTAAAGCCAGGAGATCAGCCAATCAATCCTTTTTTTGTTTGGGTTGTATTGTTTTTTGAGTCTAATTGATGTGTTCAGATATAGTTCTTTACTCAATGCTAATTTGGAGTTTATTTCCTCAAACACCACCAAAAACTAGCACACACCAAACATGGATAGGTAGTTTAGAAACTCATTGGACAAGGAGTGGTAAGAGGAATCCTAGAGCCATTTCATCTTCTGTAGGTTGAAAATAGTCTAATTTCCTGACTCTTTTGTAAATTGTGCTTTAAAGTTTGGTCATTTGTTCAGGTAGAGCACCGGCCCTGAAGTCAGGAGGACCTGAGTTCAAATCCGGCCTCAGTTGACACGTACTAGCTGTGTGACCCTGGGCAAGTTGCTCAACCCCAATTGCCTTACTTTAAAAAAAAAAAAAGAGTATAAATTTACCCTATACTCTTGAGATCATAAAGAGTTTTTTTTTTAGCATAACTTTGGCACAATAGGGGATTTTAAGTTATGAAAAACTGAATATAAAACAAATCCAAATCAAAAAGACTATTGCTAGAAGTGAAAATGTTTAAGTCCTGGTGGAAGATTTTTGATCGACTGTGTTTTCACAGAATCATGAAGTTGAAAGAGTTGAGACTTTAGGATTCACTTAACCTACTGCATCCTTTCCAAGTCCATGCAGAAATCTTCTCTTTAGATTTTTTGCCAAGATGCATATTTCATATTGTCAAAGAATGGTGTACATGTTTTGGTAAAACACTTGATTCATTTCAACAAATATTGCTTGAATGCCTACTGTGTACATAGCATTGCTATAGGTGTTATCAAAGAAATAGAAGGCATTTCTGCCATTAGGGACATCAGAAGAGGCATTCATCCTTCAATTAAAGAGTTAAGAATATGCGTATCATCTGATTTTATGCCAAAGTGAATAATATTGACTGGAGATTATCCTAGGAGTTAGAAGACTTAGAGAAATAAATATGTCTCAGAGTGGTTGAAAAATATATTCCTGGACGAGGTCAGAACGGAGCCAGAATCTTGAAGATGAGCAAGAGAGGCTATTTGAGGAGAGATGACTAGCAAATGAAAAAGCCTGGAGGTTGTGATATGTTTGGTTATGGTTAGGGGACAGGCAGAGGCAGTACTAACTTCAGGAAAGCATTTATGTTAGCACGTAGTAAGAGATGAGTTCTGTTGGTAAGTAACTTGAGATTGTGGAGATCTCAGAAACCAGGAGTGATAGAAAATTTGTGTGTCTGATGAACTTTTCTTTCTGCATTTCTTTACTTGACTTTGTTTCTACCTTTCAGTATCCTGAAGGGTATTTGGAAGCAGTTGCTAACAAAGAGAAGGAAAAAGAAAATAGTAAGAGTGATGATGAGGAATTGACATCTCCAAGGAAAGGAAAGGGGAAGAGGAAAAGGAAGACAGCAGGTTGGTATTTGAGCAGCAGAGCTCCTTCTGCAGCTTTATTTCAAGGCAGTGAGTTCCTGTGGGCTGACCAGGTATTCTTTCTTTTAGGGGGTAGGGAGGCCTTTCTGGCCTCTCCTAGTACAGTGTCCAAGAAGACTAAAGTGGAACCATACAAACTCACCTCCCAGCAGAAGACTCTCATCAAGAATGATGAATCCAATGAAAAACTGTGGAACGAAGTATTAGGGGCATTGAAGGATGGGCCGGTAGGCATGGAGATTTTATTTTTAGTTTCCCTCTTTGCAGAAGTATTTGTTAAAGGGCCGAATCTGCTGCTTTAGATATGTGAAGAGCTGATTTCTGATCAATGAGATGCCAGTAAATTAATAATTTAGACCTCCACTAAGGTCCTATTTTGATGTCTCATTGAAGTGTGGTATCAAACCCTGTGCCAGAGGCACGTAAGCTGCAGGAGCCACCACATAGGAAAGACTTGGCTTTGGGGTCTGGAGACAGTCTTTCTGTCATTGGAGAACATGGAGAGCCAGGTGCAGAGAGACCCAGTCCCAAAATGTTGCTGACCAGAAGATGCCTTATTTATTTAGGCTATGGTATTACTCATAAAGACAGTCTATTGGGGGTGGTAGGAATTGTGATTTTCATTAGAGTAGTCCATACCTATGAAACCACAGATCTTTTTGAAGTATTGAATAAGTGATTTATTTTAATGTGTTCTTAAGAGAAATTTGGATATGGTTATCAATGGGTAAAACAACTTGGAACATGAAAACCTTTCCTTTGAGATGCAACTACAGTGATTGTGTAGTATGTACAAATGTATTGTTTCAGAACTGAGTGTGTCAGATGATCTCTTATCCTTAATTTTGCTGTTATGAATTTCATTTCTCCAAAAAGGCTATTTTATGTAAGCATCAGACTAGGGTAATGACATTTTAGTCCTTCCTGTCATTGCTGTAGTGGCCCTTATCTTCTGAGAAAGCTAGACGGTTTTTTAGTATTCAGTTGATATTTTTTAGAGTCACCACAGCTTCCCAGTGACACACATAGAATTCCTCCTTGTCACAATTAAGTGTAGTAAAGCAAAACACATTTAACACATAAACTCTGGCTGACCATGTGTGCCTTTCTTCACAACCAGAGCGTACCTCCTCTCTACCAAAGAGGGTGATATATTCCACCATCACCCAGGCATATCAAGTTGATTACTGCATTGATCAGAGTTTTGATGTCTTTCATGTGGTCATTGTATAAATTATTTTCTTGTTTCTGTTTATACTTTGCTCTATATCAGTTTATACCAGTACTTTGTAAATTTCTCAGAATATTTTATTTGTCATTTCTTCTAGTAAAGTAGTATTTTATAATAATAGCTAACATTTATATAGTGTGTTGAGGTTTGCACAGTGTTTTCAATACATGTTATTTTACTTTATCCTCACAACAACTCTGGAAAGTAGATACTAATATCTCCATTTCAGAGTAGAAAACAGAGGCAGAGAGCGCTGAAATGACTTGCTCAGGAGTAATGCATACGTCAGTATCAGTATAAATCAATCAAGTCAGGCCCCCTATCCACTCTGCCAGTGGTATCAAATTCCAATAGAAAAGAAGCCACTAAACTGTCCATAAGGATCCTTGTTAGCTGCAAATTGACTTAGAAAACCATATATTAACATATGTATTCTATTTTTACTTATTTTGTTAACTGTCAATTACTGGGTACTACTGCCATTGGCAATACATGCTGACTCCCCTGCACTCTGCCACCTAATGGCCATTAGCATACCACAGTTTTTTCAGCTGCTCCTTATTCAGTGGGCACGCACTGTCACTATGTTTCCAGTTCTCAGCTACCAGAAAAATGGGTACTATAAATAAATATTTTGCATTTATGGGACCTTTCCTTCTATCTTTGACCTCCTTGGGTGGGATTGGTCAAAGGATGATGTAGTTTGACTTTTCTGGTATAGTTCCAAATTGATTTCCAGGACAGTTGAAACAATTTACAACTCCACTTAAAGTGCATTGATATGTTTATCATCCTTCCCATAGTTCCATCCCCAATCTTTTACCATTTTTTCTTTTATAATTTTTGTCAATCTAATGGGTAGTTGAAACCTTGAGTTGTTTTAATTTGCTCTTATTAGTACTGGAATATTTATTTGGTTGATGATAGTTTGCATTTTTTAAAAATTGCCTGTTTATAGCCTTTGACCACTCTATTGCAGAATAGTAGATTTTTCCAAAAAGTAAGGTGGCAGCTGGGATATTTTTATTTTTGGATCAGGTATTTTCTTGGTAGAGAGCCCTTCATTGATAGGATTCAGTTCTGTTCTGCTCTTTGGATATGATCCAGTCCAGAGGTTTTTTACTTGAGTTAAAAGCATGTGCAAAGCTCTGAATTGTGAAATTCTGTATATGACTTGATATTACTGGAATTCTAAGCTTGCATACTTCAGTGTTAATTACACACTTACTTATTCCTTTGCATTTTTTTTCTAACTGCCTAAGATTATTTCACAAGGTCCTTACGAACTCAGTATGAAGGAAGTGTCAGGATAACTATTTAATTATTGTGGGGCTAAGCTTCTTTGGGACCCAGAGCATGTGTGTGATATCTAGTAATAAGTTTTCCGGTTTTGTGCTTGCTGAGGCAGTATGATTTCATGGTAAAAGCAATGATCTTGGAGCTAGACTTGAACTTGAGTCTCTGCTTTGTCACTTACTAGCTATATGACCTTGGGCAAATCATTGTCCCTCTTCAAGCCTCCATTTCTCTATGTGCAAAATGAGAATCACAATTTTTGTACTACAACATTATACTGCTGTTGTGAGGAAGACACTTTGCAAGCCTTAACATCTTAGAGAAAGGTGAATTGCTAGTTTGTCCTTGAATCACAAAGCCTTTTCCCTGGGTGGTAAGGAACACTCTATTTTACCTTAGGATTCAGAACTGGAAAGGACTTTAGATGTGTTATCTAAGCATACTCTTGAGGATTGTTGATTTGTATATAGGGTCAGTCTCGTTGCTGGCTTCACACAGTCTTTTTCTTAATTATAGAAATTCCTGAATAAAGTGGAAGAAACATTCTTGTGTATTTGCTGTCAAGAGGTAGTGTTTCGGCCAATTACCACTGTGTGTCAGCATAATGTTTGCAAGGTAAGTAATGTTGGTCAGTCTGTTTAAGATGCATATTGTATCTTTGAGGGTGATAATGCTGAATGACCTAGAAACAGATTTGACTAAAGTCCCTGTGGATCTACAGTGTCTCTTGTCATTATGCGTCTTTTTGTATTTTTTGAGCATTTGTAGTCTTAACCTTACTAGCCTTGTATAGGCTCGGACGTTAGATTTTTGTGTAGTATTCTTTAGTATCATATATTAATATTTGTTAAGGTAGTTGGCAATGGGTATCATAGAAAATACTGCATTGTTGGTGATATGTATTCTAGTCCTGATTCTTCCACTGGCTAGCCATGTGACCTGGAGAAAGGGACTGATATCTCTTGGCCTTCTATGTAAAATGAAGGGATAAGATAATATCTAATGTTCAATTCTGAAATTTTGTTATTCTCTTTTAATTCTCATGTTCTAACCAAACTGTGCTATGCACTGTCCTTTCATACACACATCTGCTTTCTGTATTTGGAATACAGAATGTTCTCTCTAGCATTCTGTTGAAATCCTACCTATCAGAAACCCAGCTCAAATACTACCTCATCTTTTATACTTTCTCTGATCTGTTCCAGTGGTAAACGATCTTTCCCTTCTTGAACTTCTCATAACACTTTATTTGTATCTATCTTACGTCTTTACTATCTTATAATTTTTGTGTGTGTGTGTGTGTGTGTGTGTGTGTGTGTATGTTTATGTGTTGGAACACTCACTTTGAGAACAGTGACTGTCTTTCTCAGTCCCCTAGTATCTCTCTCAGGACCCAGCACAATTTTCTGCATACAACTAGCACTTTAATTAGTGTTTTTTTTTAAGTTAACTTTGTGTGGTCCTGAGCCTGGGCAGCTTTATGGAGCATGCATCAAACCGCATAGTGGCAGAAACTCAGAAACTCTACCCCTCTCCCATGAACTCTGCAAGCACTATCTCTTTCTTATATTCCCTACCTTGAGTGCATATTTTTCACTCTGGCCACCCTTATTCTCTCTGACCAATCATTCAGTGTTTGCTTTAACATTGCAGAAGAGGAATATCAGTTGAATTTTTCCCTCTCCTGATTCTCTGTGTCTTCCACTAATGTTTTTGTTGCCAAGAAAGAGTCCCTCCTGGAAAGAGGACACCACGCCTTGTTAAAATAGTCAAAAGATGCCCATGGAATGAAGAAAAGCTTATAGGCATTTTTTTGTGTGAACTATGTATTGTATATAGTCATATATAATTAAAAGAGGAAATATTGGCCAATTTTTATAGGAAAGATGAAAGAATAGTCTTGTAGCTCTTTCAAGGACAAGCAGTCACTATATTTTAAATGTTGATTAATTGTATTCCTGACCAACGATTAGTGTGGTTTTTTAAAAACTTAGGGAAAAAAAGGCATTTAATGTTCAACTCAGTTGTTTACAATAAACACACACACACATACACACATATGGTGACTATTATACCTGCATATGTATTGATTACTTATTTGAATACTGACCCTACTATTTGCTATGTATATGGCCTTGGGAAAGTTACTAAATCTCTTGGGTCTCATTTTCTTCATTTGTAAAAATAGGGAGTTGGAGTAGAGGACACTTAAGATCCCTTCTAGCTCTCAAATTATACGTAAATGCCTAGACAGTTTTTCTTAGAACAACATTTTGCATATTTAGGTCCAAGTTAACATATTTATGTAAATATTTAGAATTTAAAAAGTAACCCAAAAAGCTCAAAGTCGACTGATTGGATGAAAATGCCATTTCAATTATAAAGGAATTTGATATGAGCATTTTTAATGGCCTTGACCTTTTCTAGTATAATGAAGGGACTGTTCCCTGTTGTGCCTTCCAATTCTTCCAATCACAACATCTATGATCCTCTGATCTCATGTAACAATTTATTACCAATATCTTTTACATTAGATCTTGGTTTGTAGAAATGCTTCCATTAGGAGTCTAGCCTTTGGAAGTGACGTTAAAGCCTGCAGTCTGGATGGTTCTTACAAAGTCCATTGGTAGCTTGGTGTTTTTCCATAAATTAATAAAAAAATTGACACAGGTGGTAGTAAGGTAGCAAGGGACCTAGATAGTCATTTCAGCGACTTGGATGTGAGTCCTCTGCGTAGGATGCAGCCAGCTCAAGAAAAGTGAAAAAACTGAATCAGGATGATGGTACAGCATGGGCTGCTAGGGTTTTGCATTTGGTCATAGCTTGTTCTAAAATCTTCCAAACTCTGATTGCAGGATTGTTTGGACCGATCCTTCCGAGCCGAGGTGTACAGCTGCCCAGCTTGTCGGTATGATCTGGGTAAATCTTACACTATGCAAGTGAATCAGCCACTGCAAACCATCCTCAGTCAGCTCTTCCCAGGCTACGGCAATGGGCGGTGATTCTGTCTGTCAAGCACTTCTTACTTTAATGGTAAAATGTGGCAGTGGGTTTTCGGTAGGCTTAATTTAAACACATAGCTTCACCTTTTCCTTGAAAAGATTTGTCTTCCCCACCTTTTTTTTTTTGTTAAGTCTATAAACCTTGAGGGATTTATTTTATATGTGTTGTGGCTTTTTAAAATGTTGGATACTGCCTTCAGTTTTTCCTAAAACCTGCAGTTTATCAGCATAAATTTTCCTACTTTTGGTAAAGGCTGCTAATGAACCTGACATTGAGTTCTCAAAAGTTCCCTCTTATGTAGAATGTGGCTTGGTTGCTAGAACAATCTTTGTAAAGTCTGTGGATTTGGCCTCAAAGGTAGAAGTATGCTCAGCTCTTTGGCAATATTTTGATGTTCAAATTCTCTAAGGTGGTTCCTGGTGTTTTTGGACCTGTTGCTTAGATGGTTTATCAAGAAGTTGTTTAAAGAAAAAAAAATCTTGCTTAAAATGGGTTAAGCTCTTTTTCAAGGCCATTCTCTACCAGTTTACTTTTATGTTTAAAATAAGTATAAAAAAGCTCTCGGCCTGCATTTAGCTAAGTGCTCGGGGCAGTACAGAATGCTACCTCAGCTGGACTCTTCTTTTACCGAGGGAACTGGTTGTTCAGCCAGATGCTGTCTCTGATCCAGAATGCCATTGTGGAACATACTAGAGCCATTCTTAAGTGCCTTTGGTTCGTTTCTAAAAGACTGGGTTCTTTTTAGCACTGAAATGTTGAAATTGCCAACCAGATTATATTTCTTCCTTTGAAAATGGAACACTGTAGCCAAACGTCATTAGTGTGGCATTGCAAACCTTGAAACTCTTCTTTGCTAGGGTGCATTTTGTTAAGATTATTTTACTTTATCGTTATTTTAAATGCATTTCCATTTTGAAATGGAGAATTATATAAGTGAGAAAGTTTTTCTTTTATAAGACACTTTTCCAAATGAAATTTTTTTTCAGTTACTGTATATGAACCCAGAAAGAGATAACTTAGTTTTAGTTGTTTTTTTTTTTTAATTTTGTGAATGGATTTTTGGTTTTTTTTAACAGTACCAATGTTTGAAGTTTAATACCTCAATGTAACAGGGATATTTTAACTCACTTAACTGCAGACAGACTGGAATGATATATATTTTTTTTTGTAAAACTCTTTCCTTATGGTAGAATATTAACGGATAGGATAAAAACAATGAAACATTGTGTAGGCTTTTTCTAAAAAGTTCAGATGTTTTTTGTACATGTGCAGATTTTAAGTTCTCAAAATAAATGTGTTTAAAGATGAATGTGTGTTTTGTTATTCTTTATAGACTTGTCTAGAAAAAATTGCCAAGTTTCTGACGTGATTATCTTAAATCCCGAGAGTGACTAGATACATTATTGGGATTAGATACATTTAGGATCCTGTGAAGATTTCTGAACAGCCTGTGATGCTAGATTCAGCTTGGATTTCTGTGTAATTATGAATCTGATATTCATTCAATATGAACTTATCCAGCTCCCATGTCAATGCACTTGTAAGGAAACCTCCCAACACACTTGTATGTTAAGTAGTGAATATGGTGTGATGGATTCAGAGCTGGAAAGTCCGTCAGAGGCCACCTAGTCTGCCTACTTCATTTTACAGATGAAGAAATTGTCCTCTAATTGTCATGTTGCCCCCTCATCTCTATTTCACTGTTGATGCAGCTGTAATTTTGAGAACTTGTTAGCACTGTGTCATAATCACAACCTGAATCCAATGACCTTACCTGACTGCATGTTGTATTCTACTGTGCCTCTTCATTCTTTAGGGGTATTAATCTTTTTCAGCTCTCCGATAAATTGCAAATATTCAGTCAACAGGTAACAAAGTCCACTTAATGTAACGTTTTACAGTGGATTTTTAGTTCATCTCTATAAATCCATTGTGAAGTTGGTCTGGTATGTGGAATGAAATCTGGATAGGGAGGGAGTCAGAAAACCAAAGTTTGAGATTTTAATGCCCTCATTTTCAGATCCTCACAAACAGCCCAATAAGAAAGACTGAGCTGTTGATTAAGCCTATTGTACAGATGAAGACACTGAGACACTGAGGCGCAGTAACTTGCTTTAAAAGCATCAGAAGTATGAGGCAGAGCGTGATCATTTGGGTTTGGTCATAATCAAGGGTCAGGTAAATGGACTAAGCAGAAACTATATCATTACAAAGGTTTCCATAAGAAATATTTGTAATTATTCATACTTTCATATGCCAAAGACCAGCCCAGGGAAAATAACAGTTTTGGATCAATGTATAATAAAGAAGACTGATTTTTTTCTCATTTTCTCTTGGGGGTGGGGGTGGGGTGGAGGGGGTCAACTTTAAAGAAAAAAACCATCCCCAAGAAATATGTTTTATTAACAGATAAAAAAATACATAACAAAGGAAGAGAAAGACAATGTTTCTGCAGTCTATTTTAAATATCTTTGTGCCATTTCTTCACTTCCCCTTATAACTTTTACTTATAGAAAAGTATAGTAACTAAAAGTACTGGAAATTCAAAGCTATTTTTTAAAATTGGAAATGCTATATGCCAGTTGGCTCAATTTGTGCACTCCAGCTGGGAATATCTTCCAGAATGTAGTGTAAGGAAAGGCTTTAAGGGAGGCCTGAAAATAAAAGGTGCTGTATAAATGGAAAATTGATAATATACTTCATTGTTTTAAAAACAGCTTTCCTGTGAAGCTGGACCAAATCTTTATTTACCTTCCCTTGCGCTAAGTTCGTTCAATAGCAGTGGGTCTTCGGGTTGAGCAGCCATATCTCTGGTGCCCAGTACAGAATAGGCACTCAAGCTTTTGACAGACAAAAAGTACAGGACTTGGAATCAAGAAATCTGGGTCCTGGCCTCACTTAGGTCTACCACTGGGTGATCCAGTTCTGGAAGTCTTCCCACTCTGGGCCTCAGTTTATTCATTTGTAAATGAGGGTAGAGTTGGGTGGTCTTTAAGCACACTTGAGTTGCTTAGGTTCTAACAAACAATCTAATAAATGACAAACATTAAATGCTTACCCTGTTATTAGGCACTATGCTGGGTACTGGGAATACAGAAAGAATAAACTAATCCCTACTGGAAAGTTTGAGTTTACATTTTAAGAGATGAGAAAACAAACACAGTTAAGTGCATATAAGATAAATATGAATAGAATAAAGAAAAGGTTGTTTGGAAGGGGGGGCAACTAGCATGAGTGAGGAGAGGCATCATGTAGAACGTGGTTCTTGAGCTGTCTTGAAGTGAGGAAAGAGTATTAATAGGCATAGAAACAGGAGATGGAGTATTGTAAAAACAAAGCTGGATGGCCAAGAGTGGGAAGGGGGAGTACTATAAAATTGGCCTGGAAAACTTGTTTAGAGCAAGGTTGTGAAGGGCTTTTAAAAAAGTTGATTGAGAGACAGTAGGGAACTGAGAGTTGGTAGTGTAAGTGAGTGATTAGGTCAGATCAAGACAAAAGAAAATCCCTTTGGCCAGCTGAGAGACAATGGGAAGTCTTGAGTTGGTTGAGTAGGGGAGGGTGCTTAAAGAAAATCACTTTGGCCTCTTTGTGTGGGATGGATTGAAGAGATTTGGGGCTGGGAGGCCAATTAAGGGACTGCCATTGTTTCTGCAAGAGGTGATGAGGGCCTGAACTTAGGGGTTGTGGAGTGTAGCTGTGTGAAAGAGAATGGTTCAGTTGAAGATATGCTTTAAAAGTAGAAATGGCAGGATCGGCAACTGATTGATTATTTGGGGAGAACGAGAGTGAACATTTAAGGATAGTGAACCAAGAAGGATGGAAGGATGGTTCCTTCCACAGAAATAGCGATGTGTGGAAGACAGGAGGGTTGGAGTGGGGGAATGAGTTCAGTGTTAGACTTGTTGAAAATCCAGTTTGAAACTGGTGATCCAGTTGGTGATCAGTATTAGAGGAGACACTGAGGCTGGACATAGAGATCTAGGAGTCATGCATAAAGATAGTTAAATCCGTGACAGGGGAAGAGCATGTGCATGCGTGCCTAGCTAGGACAGATCTTCAGGGAAACATGAACGTTCAAAGTTAGGGAGGAGAGATAAGGATGATGAGCTAATAAAGGAGAAGAAATGGACAAGTAGGAAAACTATAAAGAGCGGTGTCATGAAAAACCCAGAGAAGACAGAGGATCCAGAGAGGAGAAGGGTGCTCAACAGTGTCTAATGCAGATCATAGGTCAAGATAAGAGATAGTTGGCGACCTGGAGGGTGCAATTTTAATTAACTGATGAGCTTGGGAGGCAGGCGCTATGTTTACAATTGGGGAAATTGAGGCTGACAGTTTCAGTGACAGTGACTTACTCTGGCCAATGTCTGAGGCTGCTGTCTCCCAGACTCCAAGCTACGGTGCCACCTAGTTGCCTCAAAGATTGAGGAATGAGAGAAGAGAACATTAAGGTAACAAACAAATGCAGAGAACTTTTTCTAGGAATTTGGCTTAAAGGGAAGCAGGGGGTGAGGAGATCTAGGACTGGAACCTGAAAAGGATAATGGGACCTAGGGAAGGTTTTACTTATTAGTTTTTTTGGGGAATGGGATTGGGAAAAGAGGGAGCTCACAAGGAAAGTTGTCATATTTCTCAGGAAAGAGGTGAGATCCTCAGCTGGGGAAGGGGGTTGAGGAGGGAAGAGAAGATTTGAAAATAGTTTCAGTGGGGAGATAGGGAATCAATTAGAATTCAGAAGCAGCTTTTGGAGCGGTATAATTGGAAAGGGAAACTGAGGCATAGTGGTGGGTAGAAAGAGCAATAGACTTGGGAGTCAGAGGGCTTGGATTCTGAACTCATTTCTGCTACTTAATATTTGTATGACCTTGGGGAAAGTCATAACGGTTGGGCCTCAGTTTCCTCATCATGACCTGAGCCTTAAGTCCCACTTCACCCCGGGAAGCGCTTGGCCACCGCTTACTTTCCATGTGTCCAGGAGGTCTTTCCTTCTCTTTTTCATTTTCCCCTTTCTTTCTCAGGTGCTAAGGCCTCTGCATGCAAATAGAAAAGGTCTCCAACATACAGAGAAGCTCCCACCTCCCCAAACCTAGCCTGCTGTTGTGCTGGGCATCACGTACTCATTTTCCAGCCTGATTGCAAGGGCGGGGGCTCTGCTGAGAGGGATTTGAGTGGCATCTGCCACATCCATTCTTTGCGCCTCCGGCTTGCCTTGCAGCCAATAGTGGTTCATTTTAGTGCAGCCGGTAGGCGGGCCCTAAGGCACCGTTGTCAATCCAAGGCTGTTTAGCCATTGGGTTGGTCGAGAGTGGCTGAATGGTGTTCGTCGGATCCAATGGGAGTGTGGCCGGGCAGCAGGCACGTGGGAGGGCCGGGAGTCCTGCGAGCTAGTCCAATGAGGAGGTGCGGCCTCCCTGGAGGCCCGACCAATCCGTGCCCGAAATCCCTCCTAGCCCACCTCTTTGCTGGCCAAGGGGCAGGGCCTTGCCTTGTTGATCGGCGGAGCGGAGGGGGAGGGGCGGAGCTGTCAGCCGTGGCCAATGGGCGGGCGGGTGTGGGTGCTGGGGCCAATGGCGGCCGGGGCGGTGCGGGCCCATCGCGAATAGAGCTTCTGCTGCGGTGGGGTCGAGTGCTGGCCGAGCGAGCGAGCGAAGGGGCCCGGCCCGAGCTAAGGAGCCAGAGGCGGCTGGCCCAGCCACCCCGCGACGGACTGACGGAGTTGACGCGCCGGGCGGCGGCCATCAGGTGAGGCCGAAGGTGCCTTCGCCTCGGCGGAGGGAGGCCCAAGCTGAAAGAGTATTCCTCCCCCCCACCCCCCTCCCCGTTCACTCCGGGCCGCGGCCGCCCCCTCACACCTCCCGGAGAGACGACGCGAGGCGGCGGGCGTGCGGGGCCGAGCCGAGCCGGTCCAGAAAGGGCGAGCGCGATGGCGGGCCCGGCGGGGACGGCGAGAGCGCGGCTGGGCTGCCGGCCTGCGCCCTGCCGGGGCCGGGGCCGGGGCCGGGGCCGGGGAGCAAGCACCGCAACCCCAGTGAGTCCCGGGCCCGGCCTGGCTCCTCTCCCCTCCTCCATCGCGGCTCCTCCGCCGCCGCCCTCCCCCGCTCATTGTCTCCAGCGCCCCGCCTGGCCGCTCGGGTCCCCGCGCCGGGGCCGGGGCTGGGGCGTGGGTGGGGGCGGGGGCGGTGTCCCTGCTCAGGCCCCGGCCGGGCCGGGCCAGCGAGGGGAGGTTACATGCGTTAACTGCCCCGGCCGATGGGGGGCCCCCCTCCCCCTCCTCCCCTCCCCCTCCTCCGCTCCCCCTCCTTCTTTCTCCCGATCCCCGACCCCATTCTTCCCAGAGCCGGGAAATAGTGCTTCCCAGGCTCCCCCGCTGCCCCCAGGCTCCGCGGCAGCCCCCGGCCCCGACGCCGCGCCGGGCGAGCTGCTTTCCCGGCAGGTCGCCCGCTCCACCCGGGGGAGGCGGGGAACGCGCTCCGCTCGGAGGCTCGGGAGGCAGGTCGACGGCGCCCGCCGGCTGTCACCCGGCCTGCGCCGGTCCGGCCCGGCCCGAGCTGGAGGGGGAGGAGGAAGGGCTGGGACACAATGGGGGCCGCGGTGTCCAGGGAGCGGGGGAGGGCGTCGCGCGTGGCCGGTGCATTCTCTTTCTTTCCACTAAGCCGGGGGGGGGGGGGGGGGGGGAAGGGGGTTGGGGCGTCGTGGGCCGAATAGTGCCTTGGCTTGGGGTCGTTTTTTGTTTTGAAAGGGTTGAAATGCAGTGTTTGTTTTGAGGGTGGCAGCCCCGCACAAAAGACTTCTTCGGTGACAATTGTGGGTGGTTCCAACACACTCTTGCAAATGAGGTGTTAATGAATTTTTTAAAAAGCCCCATAACATTTGGAGAAGTAGGGCCTGGCCCAAAAACAGCGGTCGGGAAGGGGGTGTCGCTTATGTCTGCGACCAAACTGGGGTTACAGAAGTTGAGACCTTGTAAGTGGGGGTGGGAAAGGCAGATTCCGCATACATACAATCTAGTCCTATTACTTTTCGAATGTGGACGGATTAGGAAAAGATTGTGGAATTGACACACATTCTTAAAATACTTAGAATCTTATGGAGTAGTTTCGGACTGTCGGTATCTGGGACCGTGACATAGCTCTGGATGGGATAGACAGAAAAGGTTAGCCAGGCTTCTGGCAGGGTGGAAATTTCGGTGATCCTAAATAGGAGAACTGGGCTGATTGTTTAAAAATGGTAGTTTGGTTTGAGAATTACAGCATGCCGGCTAAGCCCTCCAGCTTTAGATAAGGAAGCCCCGAAACTGAGTCAATCCTCTGTGCTCGTGATAATTGATTTGAGTTGTTTTTTTTTTTTTTTTTTCGGGGAATCCTTAAAGAGTCCTACCATGAGATTATACGAGGAATATGAAATTTTCTTTCACTTTTTCTATTGTTTACTGGAATGAGCTAGGTTAATACTAGGCTTAGCCAAGGGCATCCTGACAGCCCGATGTAAGGCAGTGGACACAAACTGGAAAGATTGGAAAGGATATTTTGAAACTCCATTAAATGTGCGTTGAGTCAAATGGTAAGATTACCTTGTCAGGTTTAAATTTTTTTGTAAAACCGTTATGTTGAGTAGAAATGCTGCTTTAGTTATTTAAAGAGGCAGAAGGGTATAGTTGGAAAAGCACCCAATCTGGAGTCCAGAGGCCCTGGGTTTTGTTGCTCACTCTTCACCAGACCCTGGGAAAGTCATTCACTGTGGGTTTGTTTCCACATCTAGAAAATGAAATTTCTATGGTCCCTGAAATCTCCATATCTATTATTCTGATTGGTCAGGAATAGTAATAACCGGCACATACAGACACATAAAAGGTTAGCAAATCTCTTTTGTGGATATTACCTTATTTCAGTCTTAGAATAATCCTTTGAGGAAGCTACAGGTATTATCCCCATTTTACAGATAAAGAAACTGAGAAACAGTGTTCTCTGGTTTCATGAGGAAAAATTATATTTTTACTATGCCTTGGATCATAGCTTAATGAGTTACTGGGACTGAAAAATTTATTAAATTATGATGATTCTTATGATGATTGTCTTTGAACTTACCTGCTTCTCAGATTATGTGGGGTTGTACAAGCCTTTTTAAAGGCTTGGTGGAACCTGTCAGATCTTGTGTTCTGAATACCCAGAACATGGGATATATACCATATGCATATGTATATATGTGTGTTTATGTGCATATATATGTATGTATATATGTGAGTGTCATAATGAAAGGAGAAACTTAATAAAAACTGCATTTTAAAAAAATAGATAAAATCAGCCAAAGGAGCATTCTTATTTTAAACGATTGAATATTTGCCAAGGTAGGTAAGAAATCTTACATTTTGAAAGGGAAAAAAATAGAATAAAAGGAATGGCTGCAAAGACTTTAGGAGTTGTTCACCTTTTTTGTGCCTCTTTGGCAGTCTGGGGAAACCAGTCCCTTTGTAGGATAATGTTTTTTACTGCATAAAATAAAATACATCATATTATAAAAGAAACTATTTACATTGAAATACAGTTATTAAAATAGTTTGAAACAACAAGTTTATGGACCCATAAGAACTCCTGTATCCTGTTGTAAAGATTATAAGTGCTCCATCTTTAAGAAATAGGAATTTGGGCAACCTAACTACATTCAGACCATCAGAAGCCAAGCCCACTTTTTTTACAATGGAGTATGTACCGTCCACTTCATTTATATTATAGCTTCTCATCCTTGAGCAAGTCTTGGCCTTTTGGACTTGTACCACCAAGTCGGGAGGTGCCACTCTATTGAAGTTGTGATTGGTTGCTGAAGTCAAGGCAGCAACAGCTGCCCCAGTCTAGTTGTAGTAGGACTGCTTAGGACTGTCCTGCTCAACACTTAAGGTCATTATTCTAGCTATTCCTCCTCCCCAATTCTTTATATTACACTAGACTTATCAATGGCTGCATGTTGACTCTGACTCTTAGCTTTTATCTTTACTAATAGCATCTACTAGAAAAATGGTACTTTTCTTATGAACCATGAAGATGGATAGTTAGCATATATATAGCTATATCTGGTTTCTCATCTCTGCTCACTGTTTTAAGGGGTGGCTGAAATCAGTAGCACCATTTTTAAACTTGGTCGGAGTTGTATAATTCAATAATTCGGCGCTGAAGTATCTGCAAACTTGATTTTGCACCTCTCTCTAACCCCTCCCTGTCCACACCTTTTAGTAGAGCTCCTTCCAAGTAGCCAAATAGATCTGCCCGGCCTACTTTATAGAGAGTGGGTGATGAATAAACAGAAAGGTCTGGATAATGGACAAAAGAAACATCCCTCTGTTAATTACTTGTAGTTGAGCAGCCTAGTTCTTTGTTATCTTAGGTGCTGTTTATGTTCAGTAGCAAAGGTAGCAGTTTAGGACCCTTTTCTTAGTCTTTAACTGTCTTCATCATTTAATGCTTTTGAGTCCCCTACTCCCTGACATTTTATTTCCTTGGCCTCTTTAACACTTACCTTCCGTGGTTCTTTTCCTCTGACCACAGTCTTTATTTCTTTTTATTATCTTCCTCCTTTCCCCACGTCATTCACACACAATTCCTTGGGTGGTCTCTAAGGCTTTTACTCTTTATGCCTCTTCACGTTCTTTCTTAGGGGCACCTATGGCTCCTTGGCTTCCACTGTCATTTCTATTGAATGACTTCCAGCTGTGTACTGTAGACCAGAAGTGTCATACACCTAACCCACAGCGCTTAGAACCAGATTAGAGTGTAATTGGGAAATATTTGACAAAATAAATAAAAACACAATAAAACATAGATAAAATTACATTTTTAAACTGTCGATATTTGACCTGTACAGATCCTTAAGTAGTTTAGTGGCCTCCATTTCTCTTAAGAATTTGACATTATTGTTGTATTCTATATTTCCACTTGCCTAACAGGCCAGAATATTCTGGCTCAAACCCCCCCCCCCCCCCAGCTTCACATCTAATACATCTCAAAATCCAAAAAGCTTCCTTCCCTCTTGTCTTATCTGTTCTCCACCTATACCCCCTTTACTGTTTTTTAAGGGTTGTTTGGGTTAAAAGTACTCTTTGGCTCTTTCCTTTATCCCCGAGATCAGGGGTTGTTAACTTGGGATCCCTGGACTTCTCTTGATCAAGGAGTCTATGAACTTGGATAGGGGAAAAAATTACATCTTTGTTTCAATATAACTGACTTCCTTTGTAATTCTATGTATTTTATTTTATGCATTTAAAAATATTTTGAGAAGGAATCCATAGGCTTCACCAGGCTTCCAGAGGGGTCCTTAATACCTCCCAAAAGTTTAAGGAGCCCTAGATCTAATTTGTCACCAAGTCTAGTTGTTTCTTCCTTAGAATATTATCCTTATTCTTGTGGAATGTCTTGCATCACAGAATTTCATCCTTAGAAAGGATCTAAGAAGTCACCTAGTTTAATTCTTCATGGGAATCCTCTCTTCATTTCTAACAAGTGGTCTTCCAGTTTCCATTTCCGTCTTTTATTGCTCCTAATAACTGTTATCTTTCCTTTGACGTCCACCCCACCCCCCAAGCTAAACATTCCTGGTTCTTCCTATGGAACAATTTCAGGTACTTTCCCAATCTTGGTGGATGCCCTTTGGACAGATGTGGTTTTATTAGGGCAGAGAACAGTAAGACTTCCCTGTTCTGGAAATTAAGATTACAGATTTAGAGCTGGAAGGAACCTTAGAAGCCATCTAGTCCA